GCAGGGGGCTCTTCTCCAACTTTCAAGTGAACTTTCAACGGGTTCCTCCTTATTCTGCCTTTGCCCCAATCTCTGCATTTGTTTCTTAATCCCACAGTTCTGCACGACTGTCTTAAATCCTTTGTGGCATGACCACAAATAACTCCACTGAATCAAAGCAAAAGTCGTTTTTTTCCAGCTTCAAACTTCATATACATAAAAGAGGACCACAGGTATGGGTATCACCCCTCCTGGTGTGGTTGGAAGGTGCGGGACGGCGTGTGTGAGGCCCCGTGTCAGGTGTGACATTCAAGGCTGTGTGCCAGGCAGTAAGCGTTTCATCCCTCTCTGCCTCCCCTTTCTTGAATTCTCAGCTCAGGGAGGGAAAGTCATGGAGCTCGCCAGGCATCAAGGCTCTGATCCCACCAGGCAGCAACATGGGAAAGAGAGGAAACCCACTGCCCGAGTCAGCTCTCATCTTTTCTGGGCGCTCAGCAGCTGCACGACTCGTGGCCTCGCCCCAAGCAGTGAGGGGCCCGGAGCGCCCAACACCCACCTGGGCCAGGGGACCAGAAGCCAGGTGACTGAGGCGAGACATCAGGAGGGACCACTCAGGCCAAGACTTGGGCCTAAACCTCCCACATGGACATCCCGACCCGTGGGCATCTCACGTCTCAGGGGCGTGCCAGGGGAGGAGGAGGGCTAAGGGAGCTGAATGTGGAGTCTCCCCGCAGTTTGCAGCCGATGTGGGTGAGATGTCACACTGGCCAAAGGCAGTGGCTCTCAGGAAATGCTGGAAACTTTGAAGATGCGCCCCCATGCTAATATCCAGCATGTCAGAATGAGTGACATCTCAGCAGGACAGCAGAAGACACTCACTGCTTTTGAGATGCATGTGGCAAATACCAAACGGCTTTCCCAGGTTAGAGGCAAAAGAAGGAAGGCAGGCAGGAAGAGCAAGAGGAGGGACAGACGGATGGAGGGGAGGAAGGAGAGATGGAAAGGTCAGGAGATGGAAGCAGCAAGAGAGACTGGCAACGGGTACCCAAGTGATCTTTTTCCATCCACCCCTGGCTTGAATTTCTTCCGGACAAAGGCGTTTTTACAGAAACATGTTTTTCCTTCCAATGCAGAGGAGGCCTGCTTACCAGTGTTTTAATTGGCCAGCAGTAAATGCAACTCCAAGGAAAACAAAAAGGACCTAGAAGTCGTCTCCCAGATTATCAAAGGAAGCAACATTCTTAGAACACCCAGCATGCCTCCACACGGAACACACCAGACACTTCACATGCCATCTCCGAGGCATCGCCGACATCTCTTTTTACGGACGAGAGGTTAAAGGCAGGAGACTTTAAAACCAGAGTTTCAGCCCACAGCCTATGGGTTTTCTAATACTTATCAGGCCACTTTTCGTTTTGAGAATTTTTCTGTCTCCATCCATTTCAAGGGAAATTCCACATCCTGCTTTGGAAATCATCATGGTCTTGCTTCGAGGAACAGCTGACAACCCCACTGCTCTTCGCCTTTTACGAGTCTTCACCCACCCACTCTGTTTCTCATTCACTCCTTCCTCAGCAAGGTCGTGAGAACAGAGGATTCAGAGTCCAAAAATGCCTCACGCTGGGAAGCCCTGCAGAGGTGTTCACTGCAGAATCCGTCACCTCTGCCTCCCTCCGGGGGAGGACGCCCTCTCACCGGGAAGAGGCTTTTACCCTGCTGGCTGCCACCGGGATGATCGCTGTAACTTCTTGCAGGGAGAGAAGGTGAGGAGTGAGGGCCCAGGGCAAGGGGGCGGCTGCCACCCCGAGACGGCCTCCCTGAGACGCCCCCCGTGCCACCCTCCCCCTGCGCCCCAAGAAGAACGATCTAGGACGGTTACCTCGGTGCAGCACGATGTGGTCGATCATGTTGCGTTTGTATTTGGTGTGATAGAGGCAGAGAGGACAGCGAAGATCTTTGGGGCCCTCCTCGGGGACCGCTGAATGCCCGGCTTCCACGTGCATAGTGAAAGCAGATCTGGGAGAGAGGTGGGGAGAGAGGCGATGAGCGTGACAAACATCATCTCACTCACACCCCCGCAGCCGGCAACCCTACTGCAGGGACGCCCCAGTCCGAGGGACCAAAACCACGGCCGTTCATCGTGTTTGCTGACCCCGAGTTCCTCAGCCACTCGGGCAGTAACTGAGCACTGTGACACAGCGGGAACCTCTTTTTGGAAAGTTTGCTACTTGTCTGGGTTCAGGGCCAAGTTTGAAAAGGAAGAGATAGATTCCTCCACTTTATTCTTGAAAACCAGAAGTTGCCTATCAAAAACAGAAAACGAAACCCCTACGAGAATATTTCTCATCGCACTCGGAAGGAGAGGGGCTCTTTTAAACAAGCCGGGACGCCCCACCAACTGCCCCTGTGACTCTTCCCGGGTACGGGGGAGGGCAGGTCGGCTGCCAGTCACGTAAACACCGCTGTACCTCGAAGGCAGAGGGTACCACTGCCTCCCCCTCCATCCTCCTCAGAACTTCCAAATTTGCAAAGCCTCAGATGTCTCATAAAAATGAATGAAACCAAGAGATGAACGGGCAAGGTCCCCATTTTAATAACCCACGTGCTTCTCTCTGGGGAAACACGTACACCTGTCGGCGGGCCCTTGTTATCTGGGTCCTTCTAGACGCCTCCCAGTTCTAAGGTCACGTACATATTTATCTGAAAAACAGCTGAAGCACGTGAACAGTCGGAGATCTAACACAGTTTCCATCAAATCCCAGCAACTAAGACGTTGGTGGAAAAGAGACTTGTTTTTCTATCAATTCACGTTTTCTTTTGGGCACGCAGCCTACTCTTGCCAGCCTCTCTGTGTGGAATCTGTATGCAGCACCGCAGTGACCAAGGCTCAGGCCAACTGCAACAGGAGCAAATGAAAACAGTTTTGTATCTGGAATACAGCACCTAATCTTATAGTATTACAATAGCTTTCTATCTATGATACAGTAACATTTATTAGTGTTCCCTTTGTGCCCAGCACTATGCTAAGCATTTTATGGCTTCACTTACGGTTCATTTTCTCCTCACAAGAGCCCTATAAGATAGATATTATCATCTTTATTTTACAGATAAGGAACCAGAGACACAGAGAGGCTTAGTAACTTGTCCAAAGTCACACAGCAAGGAAGTGGCAAAGTTGGGATTCAAACCCAGGCAGTCAGGCTCCACATTCCACACTCATAACCACGAGCCTAAATGGTATCTCACAGGATGAGATTAAATCACAGGAGTTTAGATTAAAAGTCAGGAAGCCCTCCATTCTTTGTCACACACAGGAGAAAGGGTGGCTTCAGATCTCTTTCTAGATGGGGGACAACGTCTCTATGAGTGTTCAAGTTTAGTCCTCCCGGTGTGAAGTCTTGGTTCTTTGGGTCTTTCAATAGTATGGGCTTAAGAAATAAGAATTCTCTACAAGGGTAGCAGGGGCATCACTACTGCTGGGTGTTCTCTCTTGACTTTGACTTTGTTTTCGAGAAGGTATTTTTTCAAAGACAAAGTAAAAGGCAGGGGCTGGGGCGAGGGAGGGATAGTTCTCTAAAGGGAAAACACTCACTGCTTCATGCACTGGGTCAGGGAAACCCTCTGCTGTGATCTCATACTCCTCTGGTGCCCATTTGCTCTGATTTTCAAACTCATTTGTTCTGATACAGCTCTCCTTCCCTTCCACAAACCCCAAAAGCCGTTTTCTGAAACTAGCTTCTGCTGATGAAGACTGGACCCTATGACTGCATCATCCCATGGGCAGGGCCTCCCTTGAGCTCCGGATAGGAGAGTGTAAGGGAAGGGTGTGGTGAGGGGCAGAGCAGGCGCAGCCACCTTGTTTCTCAAGGCTGTTTGTTCTTCACGCCACTTACTTAAAGCCTGTGTAAAAGGAGCAGTCTTTGCACTTGAAGAGCTTCTTCCCACCATGCTTGTCCCTGTAATGGCGCCGGATGCTCTGGATGTAGCCAGAGGAGAATTCACAGAATTCGCAGTGAAGAACAGCTTCGGTTTTCTGCTCAGCGCCCCCTGAAGCCCCAGAAAGAGGCACGGGGCTAACACGGCTGTTGTTTCTCGCCAGGGCAGCGGACTGATAGTGGTTCAACTGCTGCTGAACATCTGGAGGCTCGGAGTAGGATGAGTCTGTGGACAGAGCAGGGAAAATGACACCAGACACGGAGAACACGGTGGAGGTTTGACGCCTGAGAGCCCCTGACATTAGTTTTGAGTTGTGTTTTTTTTTTAAAGGGGTCGACTCTGATCCCAGCTTTCATCTTCATTCACATTCTACGGCACATCTCTGGGGAAAGGCAGGTAGGGAGGAAGTGTCACATCTTTTAATCTGACTTTGAGGGCTCACAGCATTTAAAAATAAAATTCTGAGGTTAAAGGTTTCAAAGTGAAGGAAGAAAGTAAACTGTTTTTTAAAGGAAACTGCAGCGGGGCAACAGGCTGCCACAGAACACCCGTCCCTGTAGGTGAGATAAATAAACCCGCATAATGTACACAGGCGTCTCCACGAGAGAGGAAGTAGAAGATGGAATAGTATCTCCTCCTTGGCAGCCCAGAATTATTCAAGCCAACCAAAAAAAAAAAAAAAAGTCTTTAACAGAAATGCTCAAGCACATGGCACTCACAAATATAAAAATGTTTTATGCCTTCACTGTCAAGCGATTTAAATTTTAAAATATAAAAATCCAAGAGTGTGCTCCAGGAATGGCTGTTTAAAGCTTAGTCAGCATTAAGATGGAGATTTATTCATAAATCCCACGAAAATGAAATTCCAAACAAGTTTCCCTGAAAGGTATTTTGAAAGTTTGCAATTTGGAGGAAAAGCTCGGAAGGGACAGGCACAAATCTTAAGGCTGAGAAGCTCCAGTGGCATGTGGTGGAGAAATCAGATGTAGACAGGGAGGGTGGAAAAATCTGTTTCTTCTTTTAATAATAATTCTTAAAAAATGTTTTTAAAGACAAGAGAAAGTAAAAGAAAGATCTTGAACCTCTTCCCAACACGCTGCTCTGAACGTCCAGGTTAGGAATTCGTCCTGTGAAACCTACGGCTGCCCATGAATGACACAAATGGAGTCTGTGAATCCCACACAGATGAATTTCAGTGTAACTTTCCTTGAAATGAAAACAAAGGGCTCTTTTCTTAAGCCTTTCAAAAAGCAGGGGGGAAAACGGGACAGAAACGGTACCAGCCTCCTCCTGATTTGACGGACACTTAATTTTCCAAGTATGATTCCCCCAGGCAGGACACGGAGGAGCTCTGTAAAACCCACATTTGATGAAACTAGTACCATCCATCCCGTCGGCCTCTTTGAAAAGCAAAACAGAAACAGAGCAGCCTCCTTTCTTGTGGGGCCACCTCCTGTCTTCAAAATACTGAAATCCCTTCCCTTCTTGTCTCCCTCCTCCCCCTCCTCAATTCGTATTCCTCAGGATGGAGGAAAAAACCCCTTTGGAAATTGTAAACAAACCTGCCGTACACACACAAATAAAACAAAAGGAAAACTTGAACAATGTCTCCGAGCCGCCATGGGTTCATGACCAGGTGTAAACTGAAGACAAAGGAAGAAAGGAACGACACAACTGAGTTCATTTCACCCGAGTCTCTCTATCTCCGTTTTCTTTACTCCGCGACCCTCGCCGATGAACCCACTCAGGATCACAGTAACACGACTGTCAACTTCTCATTCTCTCCTTCAATAGCAGGTTTGTTTACCATTTCATGGATTGTTCGAGATGTTTTCTACGTAAGCCCTCAAGACTAGTTTCTGCTTAAAACCACACACACAATGAAGCACAGAGCGTGCTCTGCCCGCCTGGCTTGTTAACAGGGACTTGAGCCACTGGGCTGGCAGGGCCACGCCGGTACCCCGACCAGCCCTGGCCTCTCGGCACTGCTGGTCCTGGTTTGCCCTTAGCTCTGCAGGATAGAAATCCTGTGACCAAGGAGGCCAAAGTCAGGTCCACAAGCCTACCCCGAGACCAAAACAAAGGAACCAACCATTTCTCACTAAGCAGCCACAGCTCCCTCCAGGACCCACACTCGTCTCAGTGAGTCGCAAAGGTTGACACGGATGCTGGTCGTCACCTCAGACGCAAGGCACCTGACAGCTTCAATCCCTTATGACAAAATTGCAAAGTGGCTCCCAATCAGATAGATGATAAGCCAGGGACATGTCCCCCTACCTTCCGCCACCCCCGATCTCACACACGCACGGCTCCCCCAAGGGACGGGAGTCTCCTTTGACTTAACACATTTTTCTTGTTTCTAGGGTCTCTGATGTATTAGTCCATCCATCGCAAAAACACAAAGTCTAAGTTTTAACGCCAGTGTGTCTATGTGATCTGAAACTAGAAGGAATAAAAATGCAAAACGTCGTGGGGAAAACATCCGAAAAAAGGAAAGCCCACCGCCCTTCTCGAAACAGCAGTGTGCAAAGAACAGCTGTATGAATCTGGGTCACAAAATTCCTTTTTCTCCTGGGTCAAATCAGATGGACAGATCTACTTACAAAAATAAGCCAAGCCCATTGCTCAGGATCCATCTGTAATAATGCCCACGTTACGACTTTTTGGGTCTTCTGAGTGTTCTTTTCCTCTCTGATGCCAAGACACACTCTTCCTCTCTCTCACGTGGAGTTTGTGAATAATGCACAATTTTAGCACCTCGGGCACTGAAGTGACAAAGACGTGAGTGTGTATGATTCCACCGATCCAAAAAAAGCCCACTTGCTGAGCTACATAAAATCCCAGTTTGTTCACGAGGCATAGCCAGACAAGCAGAAGAGGGAGGTTTGGTGCCCAGGTTAGAAAGACAAACAGATTGTCAGCGGTGAAGGACATGTCACATAAGTTAAAAATCATCATTAAGACTATTTTCTTTCATTCCAAGCTTAAGGAAAGTCAAACCCTTCTGTGCTTGGAGAGCGCGACTTGTGGCCACGGGGATGTACGGCAGCTGAAACACAGGAGTGTGACTCCAGAGGGAAACCCGGTGCCAGACGGTGGGTCACACAAGTTACATCCTTACCACGTGTGTGGCCAAGAGGACCTACGATGGAACCAGCAGCAAAGAGGGTGTTGGTCCATCCATTCCTAACCCATCCCCGAGACGTGTATTCTAAGAAAAGAGTGTCATTCTCTGACTTGGGACTTTGTATCTGTGCAAAGTTTTGGAAATTAAACGATGATTTATAACTGCAGCCATGAAATAAAGTTATACATCACTATGTTTGTAAATTGTGTGTAATAGAAGAATGATTTTGTAAAAGCAGGATCACCCTAGAACTTCAGCACGGATGGTCACAGCACTTCTATGCATGGGTTTGGAAGTTGCTGAACAGGCAGCAATCAATTCTCACGACTGCAGTGTATGGTGTCGGTGCTCATCCAAATTTTGCCAACGGGGTAGCTGAGGCTGAGAATGGTGGGCCAGGAGGCAGAGGTGGGCTCTGCACAGAGATCTGTCTGACTCTAAAATTTGAGTCTCGTCTTTTAGGCATCTGTACTCAATGGGTTGACCTCTGGGGTCCCGTGATGCAAGCCAGAAGAACAAGAAAGGACATCTGAGTGTTCCATCGGCAATAAACTCACAGCAGAGAGCAGAGAGCGAAGGTGGCAGAAAGGCTGAAATAGTTGAGAACGTAAGAGCAGAACTGATAGAAATGATAACAGAGAGAAAATACCATTACACTGGATACAGAAGAACACACTAAAATAATCATTTCAGATAGAATGGGGAAAAAAATCATCAGCAAAGATTCCTGGGAAAGAAAAAGAATATCCACAATTTCAAAATGCTTTATAAAAACAAAAACAACAAAAAGGGGACCACACAGGGGACGATTCCACAAATGTGCCGCACAGGTAAGCGCTACAAATACGGAGAACGGGCTATGTGCCGCCCACATGGCTTTAGTTAGACGCTTGATCAGTTACTTGCAAATAACAAGGCGCTAAGGTTCGTCACAGGGGACAGGAAGGCTACACGAACGCAGACAGGAGATGGGTGCATTTGGGTGGCTCTTGGACAGTTCAGGGCTTCCACCCAGGGAGAGGGCTGAGTTCCAGAGGAGCCCTCCTACCCCTCTCATTCAGTCCTGTTCCTGGAGAAATAGGAAATTACCAGCCAAAGCCAGGTAAGCATCAGTTCACAGGTTGTTTTTTTTTTTTTCTTTTTTCTCCAGAAATTAGCCAGCCCAGAAACAATCGCAGGAAATCTGATTTTACAGCAAACGACAGGTAAGTGAACTCTGGGAGAACAATGATACACGACGGCATGAAGCCCTCCTGAACGTTCTCCTTCTACACACACTTGGTCAGCACCTCCTAGTGCCAGGTCGCGTGCGGGCTCCAGGGACTCGGAGTCAAAGCCAGCATGAGGGGTGCCTTCTGGGTGCGCAGATCTCACAGGGGAGACAGCAGAGTAGCCGGCGGTTACGAAAACACAGGTCTGCTCCACACTGAACAAACATGCTCCGCGGACCAAAGGAGTAAAAGAGGCGAAGAGAACAAATGAATAGTAACAGGAGAGTTTAACTACTGCAAGATTAGGGAAGACACGCGGAAGAGTAAGAAGCAACTGGGCAGGAAACTGGGGGGGCTGCGGAGGGCACCCCCCTTCTGCGCTGAGTGACCCAAAGAGGGAGCTATCCAGGAGGATCAAGTCTCAGTTTTCTGCCGCTCCATCCGCAGAGAGGGTGAGAGTGAAGGTGAAAAGTCCCTTGGTGCCAGCAACCCCACGGAATGGTATCTCAGCTAGATTTTCCTGCAGACTTGGGGGAGAGGCTCTGTGGTCAGGGTGAATAAGTACCAGGAGAAAAGAAAAGACAAAAGGATTTTAGGCAGGTGGCCAGGGGTGCAAAATGGTTAAATTACCTCCATTCATTCAGCAAACATTTGTTGAGCATTTAAGTCAATGGGAGACCCTGTCCTGGGATAGGAGGGCATGGGCCCTGCCCTTCGGCAACTGTCAGACCTACACGGAAATAACTGACAGTGGTGGGGTGGGGAGGGTATAGCCCAGTGGTAGAGTGCTGGCTTAGCATGCACAAGGCCCTGGGTTCAATCTCCAGTACCGCCATTAAAAAAATAAATAAGTAAATAAATCTAATCCCCCCACCACAAAAAAAAGAAAAATTTTTTTTAGAAATAGAAAATTAAAAAAAAACTGATTGTGATACACTGCAAAAAAAAAAAAAAGTCTTAAAGAGGCGCCTATCTCTAAAGACCTAGTGGAGAAGACAAAGCCAGCAGTACTTGGTGACTGACGATGTGGAAGTGAGAGAGTGGATGGAGGATGTCCAGAGAACCTTGAGTTCCATTAATAAACGTAATCAGCATGAGCCTGTGTGTTAACTAATGAGATCAACACCAGACACGAAGATGCCTAAATGTTCAGTTCACCACCCGCCACCTTACGCCATAAATAGAAATTAAACACCGCATTCTTATCACAATGAAAAAGCAAAGTGACTTAATTCCTACAGGAAAAAGAAACGAGGATCAGGGGATGAGCCTGAGCAGAAAAATATGTACATCAGAGGGTGTGGTAGATTGCATAAGGAAGGACTTGAAATCTTCCAGTTCCAAAATAGCACAGAAAGTTCACAATAATGCATAGATTGTCATTTTCCCCAGAAAAGCGGGGGATTTAGCAACTAAAGGTGAGTAGTGTAAGAAATCAGAAATAGAATATTACCTGTAGATAATTTAACAACAAATATTGAAAATATCCAAAGTATGGGGGCTGAAGGCTAGAACCCAAATATGCTGGAAATATACCCCATTATTTCTAGAAAATTTGAGAAAAGTACACCAACAATGACAAGAGAGTGGCTAAAGACGTACTTTCGTTAAAAGGCAGGAAGCTTTTGGAATGACATTGACTTCTCTCCTACAATGGCTAATAAACTCAGGCAAAGGGCAAAAATAGTCCAAGTATTTCCACGTAGGTGATAGTGACCCAAGGATCTGTGGGATGAGACAGAGAATCCTCCTGCTTATCACTGAGCTTAGACAGGATCTGAGTCTTCCTCTAAAGCTGAAAAACTTTATGTCTGATGGACTCAAACACAACATGCAGCAAATGGACCCCATCTCTGCCCGCACGTCTCCTTTGGTGTTCCCGATGCTGGGGAACGGCTCACCGCTTCGTTCAAGCTCAGGCTGTGAGATTCCTCTGTCAGTCTGTCAGGCGTTTCCTGTGGCAGCACATTTCACCAGGCACCACGTCCCAGAGACACATCATGACTCACCTCCAATCAACCTCCTCTCCAGGTCCCCGCCTTCCTTTCCCATTGTTCACCCAGGCCCCCATATCCCATACAGACAACTCTTAACAGCCTCCAAGTTGGTCTTCCTTCCTCCAAGATGTTCTCTAGTTTGGCCAGCATACTTGTCATCGGCGTATAACATATATAACTTACACCATTATGATATGATTGTGCCCCAGTGCTCCAGGATAAAGTCTATTCCTTAGTTTGGTACATAAGCTTTACAGTCTGGTCTCAGCCTGTATTTCCAGTCTCCCCTTTAGCCAATTCCCGAATCCTTGCACATTCTACATATTTCATCTTTGGGAATCTTTGATCAAGGGCTACCCTGGTGCTCTTCCTCTTCTTCTTGCCTGGTGAACTCCTACCCATCCTTCAAAACCCAGCAGAAATGTCACCTACTCTCTGAAGATTTCCCCCAACAAACCAGACAGAACCCTGCTCTCCTCTGTGCTTTGCCAACACACACACACACATCATGATTATCATCCTGATCTTACTACACCTGACACTTTCAAGTTCTCTTAAGCAACCTCCACCAACAAATTTGGCCAGATCAATGCCTCTGACCTTAAAACACCCCATGGCAACAAAGTCTGGACTGGAGGTGTGGAGCACTCTAGCCCACCCATTTCTGTTTCCAGCACTGGAGTTAATGCTAAGAAGAACCAGCTGTATTTGCTCTCAAACTTCTTTGTACCCATTCTATTTATACTTGTTACTCAGCTTATTCAGTTTAATTACTATTACCTAAAATGGTAAAAGATGGTATAAAATTTGCCATTTTTATGAAGCTGCATTAAATGCTTTGTAAAGATCTGATAAAGTTAAGTTACTTAAAAAAAATTATTGTCAAATTACATTTTGGCAGGACCAACTATAAAAGATGGAGGGGGACATAAAAACCTAGGACTTTGCTCTAAGACTGTTCCACAAATGTCTAAATTATTACCTCACTTAAAAGAAGCTGGAACTGGAAGTAGCATGTGGTACATTATGGGTGATTGTGGTTTGTACAAGAGAGAAAATGAGGGACTCCAATCAAAGGACCGCAGACCCAAATCCAGAAGCTCGAGCCTACAGCACAATACTGGTGAACGAATGCATTTTTAGTGAAAATAAAATGCTTAAGGCACTTAAAAAAGGATTCCCTGCAGTAAAAAAAATTTCAAATATATAGAACTAACAAATGAGGTCGCGATTATATCAAGTAAGAGTTTCCAGTATATCTATGTATATGTTGACCCCCCACTTTATATTAATTCAGAAAAGATTTATTGAAAGGATTCTATGTGCCAAGCACTTCTGAGCACTTGGGATATGTTGGTGGAAAAACACCAGCAAGGATGCTCGCCCTTGTGGGGCTTACTTTTTAGATTGATGGGAACAGCATCTTATGTGCTTTTATAGCCAGACACTCATGGTCCCTTCATACAGGTACTTAAGAAAAAGTCTGCTGACCTGAATTTATGAACAACTTTCTTAAATTCAATCCTGTATGTTTGCTTGTCTGTCCATCCGTCTACCTACCTATCTATCGTTTTAAGTTACAAAGACTGAATGTACCACAGAGCCAAGATGACTGACCAGAGAGTCAAGATGATTCACAGATTCAAGACGCTTCCTTCATTTTAAAGACGTCTTAGGTTCTATCTGAATTCCTTTGAAACTCAGTTGAACTCCCTCTCTTTCCCAAGATACCTGCTGTTCACTCTGTGTTGTTAACAGGGAGCAGAATTTGGCAGCCAGAAGACCACCACCGACTGCAAATCACCTACGCGACTTTCCAAGTATTTCTTTGGCAAACCTCAAAAAGGTTCTTTAGCTGGAACACTGGGGTCAGGCCAAAGGAAAACTGTATTACAAACTAAGCATTAGGGCACAAGGCATTTCAAGTCCTTCTGGTCAGTGTCTGAAGGGGAACATAAATCTCAAGAGGCAGCCACGTTGTTTTATTTCCTTCTTTTGATTCTGCCTTGAAAATCTGCAGGCCAAGGACTCCAGCACCTCCTCGTCTTCTCTCATCAGCAGAGTTCCCTGGCCTGGATGCACACGATTATGATACAATGGCCCCTGGACAATGGAGGCTGGATGACTATATACAGGAATTCTGGGCTCGGTTGTCATGGAGGTGAACGGAAAAACAAACGCCTAATCCTGAAAATAAGGCTGAGGCCAAACTTGAAGGAAACACACACTGAAAACTTCCTGTCATTCTGATGAGTGAAAACAAAACCTTGAAATATGATTCGGGGGGGGGGGGAAACCAAACCAAAACAAAAAGTTTGTCTTCCAAATGACAAAAACACAGCAAAATAAAAAAGGGCCACCTTCTCTTTTTGAGATTTAGTGTCCCATTTCCCTCAGTTCACTGAAAGGGTCTCTCACGAGCCTTACTTTGCCTGAAGCGTCATGTTCTCATTTTCTATTTTGGGGGGAATCCAGGCAAGTCTGACCTAAGACAAAGATTTCTGGACTTGCAACTCACGAGGTCCTATAATCGGGGAGAAGCCCCTTTGTTTCTCTTATTTTCCCCCAATGGCATCACCATCCACCCAGTCAATGAAATCACAACAAATCCTTGATATATGTCATTTCTCTCTTTCATTCTCCATGTTCAGTGAGTTAACAACAACAAAAAAAAAAGCCCTATTAGTTCAACCTCCCAAAACATTCGTGTCTGTGATCCCCTCACTGTCCCACTGTCCCAGCTTCTGCTCTGGCCCTCTGGTCAACTTCCACTGCAAAATCTTCTTAACTGGCTTTCAATTTTCAAGTTTCTTCTCGCGCTAAGGTCCCTTTCTTTACTGAAAGCAAATATGATCAAGGAACTCACTCATCCCTTCTTAGAGACCATAACGCCCAAACACTGCACGTCGATGCCCGGCCCGCCTTCATCGTCCCAGATCCACTCTACTCCACACCCACACCCTCCCCGCTCAGCGTTCACCGCCAGCCACATCAAAGGTTCCTCACATTCACTCTGTGTGCTTTTTCTTTCTTTTTTTCACTGCTTCTTTGTACATTCTTCCAATATCCTTCCTCTGCTTCTCAGCCAGGCAAACTCTTACCATCTCTCAAAACTGAACTCAGTTCAAATTTACCATCACTATGAGGGTCTTGCTTCATCCTTCTAGATACACTTGTTCAATTCTCCCTTTGGGATCCTCTGCTAGTACTCAACATGCTGCATGGAGATGAATTTATCTTGCCTCCACCAGACAATAATCTCTTTGCAAGTAAGATATCCATCCATCCATCCATAACTTTTTAAAAAGTTCATTATCTCCCAGAACTTAGTTCAGGGCCTGGCCCCAAAACAGGTGTTCAATAAACAATGTTCTAAAGAACCAAAAAGAGTTCAAACTTCAAAAAGTGCTCTGGAAAACACAGATTTCAAAGGAAAAGGCAAATAACCAAATGCCACTCTCTCTTTGAACACTGAGGTTAACAGAGTCGTTCCATTGAAACACTGATCCACTTTTACCAAAACAAGCCTGGGTCTTTTTTAATTACCTGGAGAATGGCTTCTGGAACATCTGAGAATTTGAATGGCATGAAATTTGTAATGCACTGCCACCCCGAGAAGCCACAGGCACAATTTCTGGTTTTCAGCCTAAATCAGCAGTAAGTCTGAACTCGGAAACAGATCATATCAGGACAACTGGGATTCACTTTAGATGATTTTGTGTGCAGCTCTCTCCTGTTTTGCACCCACTGGTATGCACAGATGTTTGAAAAATGCACAAATGTAATAGGTACCATGTATTTAAACTACCTTCTCACTGGGTAAAGTGTTTTACCAAGTTTCCTCCATCACAGATGCACCCTCATCCCAGATATGAAGTAAAGACCATTCAGAAATGCAGGGATGGCTTCGTGTCACCCCGCCAGTCAACGGAGAAACAGGAACATGCCCCGGGGCCTCTGCACGCCCCAGTTTTGAAAAGAGGTTCTTTTTCTGCCATGGTCATCCACAAGCATCGAAGGTACTCCTTCTGTACTAAAGAGGTATCTGTAAACTCAAAGTGTGTGTTCTCAAAAACCCTTCTTGAAACCGGCTGGAAGTTTGTAGGCAAACAAAATGAACATGTGCCCAAGGAGCCTCTTTCTAATGTTTTTCGGGAGGGAACTCTGGGTGGCATCTGCAGCTGTTAATTGGGAAGGTCTTACAATACCAAATGCATATCTCACCTGGGACTCTTTTGAATGGTGTGATGAGGAAGTAATGTCTCCTGCTGCTCGTTTAGATCGGACAGACGTCTTTTCCACGCTGAGAAATCCAATGAACAACACGGAGGACAAAAGCCTCTTTGTATCAGCGACTTGGCCTCAACGGTCGAGAGCTTGCTAGCAACTTCTGATGGTATTTAGAGCTCCCGGGCCGTGGGCCAGGCCACTGTGTTTCCTCCTCAAGCCCTGACCGGAGGGAAGATACCCACTGACTTCAAGGCGTCGGTCACAATGTAGAGCCCGCAACGAACCGCGCGGGGAGAGCCCGCACAGGGAACGGAGGCAGAGATTTCTCCAAAGCTTAGCGAATCGAGAGGAAAGAACGCATCTGAGTCTAAGCATATATATTTAGATATACGTAGTGCTCTACGTGAAGATATGGAAATCAGGTGAGAAAGGCGATGGCTGAGCGAGAACAGGAGCGAGCAGCCACACTTCAAAGCACACAGTTATTCTAAAATTGTCCCCCAGCAGCGGGAGTCTCTGAACCAACACACCCAGTGGGCTTCTTACCCTTTTCTTTTTTTTCTTCCCCTTTTCTTTTCACCTGTTCCCATGCAGTGTAAGAAAATCCTGACTCCGGTTCAGCTGTTTTTAATCACCATGAAAGCTGTAGGTTCTGTTCTCAGGAGAGACACTGTCCCACCCACTCCAGACTCACCCCCAGGAGTATCGCTGGTGATGCCTGGCTCAGGTGTAGGGGGTCCGCCTCCAAGAAGCAGAGGGATCAGTGAGACCCAAGTTCACTTTGTAACTGCCTGAGCGGCTAAAGGTCTAGCAAGCGCGTCAGGGGCTTTTCCACTAAGTCTCTCGCTGATCTTCACCACAACCTTATGAAATGGGATGGGTTACTTTCCATTTTACAGATGGGGAAACCAAGGGAGCACCCGGAAAGCAGACAACTTGTCAGCTACACAGAGCACGCATGCGAGCCTCCTTGTAGCCCTGTGGGGACTCTCAGTTAAACAGATCTCTGGTTCCTCATTTTATGAAATGGAGACGATGACACTGGCACCTTCACAGGGCGCCGTGGAGAACAGAGGAGAGTAGGGTGTGAAGGACAGTGCTTGGCACCGGGTCTCAGCTCCACAGCAATTCAAGTCTACATTGTATATTTTGGGCTAAATTATAACTTGCCTTTTAGTGTTTATGGAGTGTTTTCTATACATAGCCTCCACTGGACTGCAGGATGGAGTGGAACGGGCACCTCTTACACAGCTCTCAACAGATGTGACGGACAGGCATCCCAGCTCCTGGCACGTGGTGGGTGTTCGGCGGCTCGCTCTGGGCTGATCGATTCTGGGCACGGCCAACTGCACTGCCCTGTCTGGCAACAACCCGCTGGCTTACTCTGTGGGTGAGGAGAGCTGCCATGGGGAGGGGACTGATCGTGGGGTGCTTGGATTCAGCTCAAAGGCAGGGCTCAACCTGAATAATGCAACAACTCACCCCCGTTTTGTGAGATAACAATGCGCACAGGATGGGCATAGATCAATTTGCTACAAAAAGGCACAGCAGAGCAAATGTAATTCCCAAACTTCAGAGACTTTCTTGGCAACCATTCTGGGGGTCTATTTCCTTTCAAGTTTTTTCACCATCCCCTCCAGCTTGGAGCAAGGTCCCTGGGTATCCAGCTGGTGGGAGTGGTAATCGCCCCCATCATCAGTGGTCCTCTCCCGAACCCCGCTACCCGACACTGCACGCTGGCCTCTTCCCCGTTACCTTGTTTCCACTCTCGACAGCACTTCTCACCGTCTGATCCATACTCCGATGTATCAGTCAGTGGGTTGGCTCTCCCCACTATCTATGAAGGGTTTTATCTCAAACTTCTTACCTTGTGTGGATGTTTGGATTTTGTTTCATGAGCAGTGAGGGCATCTAAGCTTTTGGGGGGAACTTCCGGCTCAGCTGGGCACGGAGTGTCTGTCCAAGACTCAACACAAGAAACGTAAGGGTCTGTGCCAAGAAACAGCGCTGCCACCGTATGACCATGTGCTTCGGTGTTTTGAGGGTCGTGGCCAGTGGTACCATGAACGTCAACACCTGAAGTCTAGATTCACTCACTTCAATGACTCATTTGAGGGCCCACGCATGCTAGGGAATCTGCCACGCTCTGGGGGCTCAGAAATAACACGGTGGCCTCTGCCTTCAAGAAGCTGATGGTCCGCGGGAGATGGGAAGACAGACGGCTCCAGCAGTGGGATGGGCGCTCTGACACTAAAGAGAGCTCAGAGAGGTGGAGGCACAGCAAGGAGGCCCGGCGGCCAGACAGGGAGAGGTGGGAGGACTTCCGGAGGCGGCAGATTCAAGTTTTCAAGGAGGAGTCAGAATTCGCCCAGTGAATGGAGTAACAAGGCAGCCGGGTGAAAGGAAGTGGAGAAGGACGTTCCAGGAAGAAGGGCCGGCAAGGCCTGGAGTGTGAGAGCAGGACTGTGCAGACGGGGCTGCAGAGCGGGATGGAGGCAGGATGAAGGGGTGAGGAGTGACCCCAGAGAGGAAGGTGGAGCAAACATCAGCTCTCCACGCTGAGCTTGGAATCCTCCAGAGGCCCAGCAGCCAGCCACTGGAGGGTGTTAGGCAGGAACCAGGCGAGATAAAGGCTTCACATTTTTACCTTTGCTGTGCCTATAAACTACACCCGGAGCCCTGACCGCCTCTCTCTCAGATGGGGAAGGCAGCCTGGTATAAATGCGTTCCCACTGCGCGGGAAAACCAACTAGCAGCTCATTCCTGACTGAGGATGGAACAGCGACGGCGGCCGATGACTCCACGCTTGGCGGTGTTCAGTAGAAAACACCACTGGAGGAGCCCCTCTCCGGCTTTTACTAGCAGGCTGGAACTGTTCATTTGAAATCCAGCGCCTACCGTTTCTCCAGCACGCATGACACCTCCATCTGAAACAGATTATGGCCCTACCTACGGGAAGGGAAAATGGAAACTCAGTAGGCCACCTCTTCTGCTCCCTACCAACCTTTCAAGTGCAAGAAAATAACAAAGCAGCCCCGGAAACCAAGTGGTGTGTCCCCATGCTGGCAAACACCAAAACCGTGTCGGCGTCAGCCAAGATCTTGTGGTCTGTTTTTCAAATACAGCGTCTTCAGCAACATCCAAAATGTTTCTCTGACTGTACTTTGCTCCTTCATTTTAACACCCGTGTGTCAACCCAAGGATACTTACGACATATTTCCTGGGCTCACTTAAGACTCAGCTCACTGGTCCAAATACTATTTTGTAAAGTGACTCAAGATTCTTCGGGATTCATTAGCTTTTTCTAAAATGGTTTGTTTAATCATAACAAATACTGTATCTACTATATGGGAAGTACTTGACAGATACAGAGACCATCAGAGCTCATGTTTCAAGAGCTCTCCGGGTGTTAGCAGAGATGACTGAAACACACACTAAAATCAGAGCATGCTCGAAGAAAAGCGCAAAGGCCCACGGGCATTTCTACCTGCTGTGAGCAGAGAGGCCGGAAGACAGTGGGGCTCTGGAGACAGAAAGAAAATTCACAAATTTTTTTTTTTTTTGCCGGGGTGGGGGGTGGTGGTGGTAAGGTAATTAGGTTTATTTATTCTTAGAGGAGGTACTGGGGATCGAACCCAGGGCCCCGTGCATGCTAAGCATGCGCTCTACCACTTCAGCTATACACTCCCCCATCCCTCCTTTTTTTTCCTTGAAAATTCAAATCTTGATTCACTGCTTTAAGCTACTGTCATGACTCTCTATAGGACACAACTTTCATTTTTACATTTATAGGACATTGACTCTGGAAAGTGATATTGAGATTGTAACATCCAGGTGTTTAGAATGTAAACATGAACAGGACAAAAACCCCGTCCCCAGTGAGCTCCCTCTCTGGCACTATCATGGACTTGGCAGAATGGACCACGTGCACCCCAGAGGTCAGCCACAGCACCGTGGGGTTTCAGAGGCAGGAGTGCTGACTCACAGCAGGCACCCTAGGGAGACATCCTGGAAGTGAAGGAATGTGCACGTGGCTTTGAAGGACAGGTAGGGTCTGGACCTGTGGAAGTGGAGGAAAGCAGGGGCAGCTGGGTGTTGGGCGTGGAGAATGCTGAGAGGGGATTTGGTGTTCACAGGCCAGGCAGAGCTGTTGGAACAGGGGGATGATATGGCTCATAGCCTTGCTTGGAGTAGACTGGAGGGAGGAGTCTGCAGGTGGTGTGGACAGGGCCACGGCTTAGGTCAGAGACGGGGGGTGGTATGAGAGGAAGTAAGGAGATGGAAACAACAGCACTGAGCAGGCCTCTGAGGGACTGACGGGACGGTCCAAGGGGACTGTGGCTTCTAGCTGGGTATCGAGTCTGGGAGCAAGTTCACGGGTTCCATTTTAGAACCTTTAAGGTGGAGGGTGAGCGAGACCTCCAAGCGGAGAAAGTGAGGAGCAAGTGCGAAGGACGGTCTGGGGCTTAACCTGAGGGCTTAGGGCCAGAGGTGGAGATTTTGGAGGCACCATCGGAAAGGCAAGAGCTGCCTGCGTGTGTGTGTGACCGGGAGCGCGCAGAGGAGAGGACTGAGGACCAGAGCGGGGTCTATGTGATGGCAGCTGGAGGAAAAGCAGTGAAAACAGGGTAGAGAGAGGGTATCAGGGAGGCCA